TGCCTTCATGATGTTGCTTCTTCCATCTCTTCTGCAGCAACCAAGTGGTCGCCAGTATCTGAGAGATTTGCTAGACTGGACCGAGTTTGATGAAGTCCGGGACTTGCGTCGAAGCATCCACTTGGACGTCTATTACTGGAGTGTTGTGTTTGCTGCTGAGAAGGGCTTCTCTTGGCCGGCCGTGGCAGAAGTGGCCAAGTTGACCGGGGAGCTCTTGGAGGAAACCAAAGGTGAGCCAAGGGGGCAAAATGAAAGCCGTTTGTACAGCAATATTCATTCCGTACAACTGTTACATCCCTAAAGATACATCTATAGTGTAGAATTAATGCAATTTGACACTACTTTAAATCCCACAGCTCAAAACTATGGAATCATGGGAGCTGTAAGTCTACAAGGTCTTGAGTCGTGTGTGCCAAACAGTGTTGGCACCTCCCCAAACTACAGCTCACATGATTCCATAGCATTGTGCCGTAGTTTCATACTGCATCAGTGTTGTTGTTCATTCATTCAGTCGTCTCCGACTCTTCGTGACCTCATGGACCAGCTCACGCCAGAGCTCCCTGTTGGCCGTCACCACCCCCAGCTCCTTCAAGGTCAGTCCAGTCACTTCAAGGATGCCGTCCATCCATCCCTGGGGAAGGCAATGGCAATCCACCCCAGTATCCTTGCCAAGAAAACTAAATGGACCAGTACAACCAGATATATGTTAAGAACGTGGGAAATATCTTAGAGGTTGGACTACATATCCCATTGCTGCCTAAAAGGATGCTGAGAGTTGTAGTCATTGGCTTGCCCAATATAGATGTGAGCATTGAGTCCAAAGCCCTTTATGTCTTTTCAGTGAGAGAACTCCAACTTAAGTTGACTTTGATTGATTATGGCCCCATAAACAAAAGACCTCTAAATCCCTGTTTCATTGATTGAGCTTCTCAGGTCTTGCAAATTCTGAGCAGCTGAGGCTTCCTTGATGAAGTCCCCCCATCTGGAATGGTGTCCTTGTCTTCTCCTATTGCCTTCTCCATGCCCAAGCATTATTGTCTTTTCTAGTGATCCCTGTCTTCTCATGATGTGGCCAAAGCCTCAATTTAGTCATCTTGGCTTCTAGAGAGAGTTCAGGTTTGCTTTGCTTGAGGATATTGTTGCACTCTAGCCTTGAGACACCTTCTCACCCAGCACCATGGTCCAGAGTGACTCCCAGGTATTTGGGTGCGCTGCCATGCTCCAGTGGGATTCCTTTCCAGGTGATCTTCAGAGTTCGGGATGCTTCTCTGTTCTTGAGATGAAAGGCACATGTCTGTGTTTTAGATGGGTTGGGGATCAGCTGGTTTCCCCTATAATAGGCAGTAAGAGCACCTAGAGCTTTGGAAAGCTTCTGTTCTTACATCTCAAAGCTCCCTGCTTGAGCAGTAATGCACGATCATCAGCATAGATGAAACTCTCTTACCTACAAGAAGCACTGCCTGGACATCAAGCAAAAAGTGGGTGCTAAAAACAATATCATACAAAAGCTGACTGGCACAACCTGGGGATCACAAC